TACTTGTCCCAGTCACTTTAGCAGTTCGAAAGCATGTAAAAAATGAAAGTAGAAAAATAGGAACCACCTTTGGTGGGAAAGTAACAGCGTTCCGTGCACCTTTGGCGTTTAGTCATGCCAGCCACATGACCACGGAGATGTCTTTGGACAGCGCTGGCTCTTTGGCTTTCAAACGGAGATGAGCACCACCCCCTAGAGTCGGGAACGACTAGCACATATGTGCGAGGGGAATCTTTACCTTTAGGACATAGTTGAAGAGGATTGTGAGCAGAAATGAAGCCATTGGACAGTAGATCAAAAAACCTGGTGCCTTTACTTGATTTGAGCTTCAGTTGTCTTCAGTGCCAACCAACATGGTTGCAAGGCAAGAGTGTGTGTGCATTGTAGAAACCGAATCCAGAGGGCTCTCTGGCTTACCCATCTGCATATTAGAAATGTCTAATGAGAGCATAAAATTTGGAATGGCCCCAAGTTTATTTTAGGGAGTGAAGGATGTCAGGTTTCAGTATTATTCTGCACTAAATTAGAAACTGTGAATAAAGAGCCAATTTCAGATGCAACCCATATGGACTTAATTAAAGTAGAACTATTAAATATGCCGAGGCGAGTGAGGCCCACTTCATGAGCTCTGGAAAGGTCAGAGGAGGATACTGTAAAGCCAAAGGAGTTTTTGGATAGACAAAGATACTGCTGGGAAAAAAGCCATGTTCCTCCATGATATCAAAAAGTCAGAAGGAATCTGACAGCACCTTTTCAGGCTTACAGACTTGATTAAAAGTCATAAGCCGAAGGTGAATCTGATAAAGTGACCTGCAGCTCACTGAAACCCATGAGTTTTAATTAGTTATGTTCATCCGGAAAGGTATCTCTAGACTCCTTTTGATTTTGGAATATTAAAATTTCAAAGAAAAAGTCCCCTGGAGACATTTGAGATCAATAGCAGAGGTGTCCAGCCTTGGCAACTTTAAGACTTGTGGCTGGCTGGAGAATTCTGGGAATTGAAGTGCCCAAGTTTTAAAGTTGCCAAGGTTGGACACCCCTGATCTAGAGAAATGATGTCATTACTGATGGAGATGGCAAAAGTAAACTGTTTCAAAGGGATGGGCAGAGAAAGGGCTTACCATATTTTTCAGACAATAAGACATTTTGGAGTATAAGACGCACCAAGATTTTGAAGAGGAGGTAATTTTTTTTTTAAAAAAAAAGGTTTTTGCCCTCCCCATCCCCAGGAGCACTTTGCAGGCCTCCCAAACACTCTGCACACCCTGTTTTTTGGGTTTAGGAGAGTTTGGGGGCCGGGGAGGGCAAATTGCTCCTGGGGGCCAGGGAGGGCAAAAACGTGATGCCTGGGGGGTTTGGGAGGTGAAAAATGGCCCCCTTTTTTTGCAAAAAAAACCAGGATGTGCAGAGAGTTTGGAAAGCCAGCAGAGTGCTCCTGGGGACTTGGGAGGGCAAAAACACCCCTATTTTTTGTGAAAAATGGACCCGTTTTCTTTCGTTTTTGCCATCCCCAGCCTTAGGAGCACTCTACAGGCCTCCCAAACCCTCTGCATGCCCGGGTTTTTGCGAAAAATGGGCCTGTTTTTTGCTCGTTTTTCCCCTTCCCAGCCCCCAGGAGCACTTTGCAGGCCTCCCAAACTCTCTGCGTATCCATTTTTGCGAAAAACAGGATGCGCAGGGGAGGGTTTCGGTAGGCCAAAAGTGACTGTATTCGGTGTATAAGATGCATCAACATTTCCACCCTCTTTTAGGGGGGGAAGTGTGTCTTATACTCTAAAAAATACGGTAATTCAGGAGGCTGCAAGTTGTCCAAGAATCATGGATTTCTATCCAGAATCACAAGGATAGGAACAAACAACCAGAGGTAATGGATTTGAGCAATTGGGATCTTTCCAGGTCTGCTCTCAAAGTAGAGAGACATAAGATGAAAATTTGCAAGCTTGTGTAAGATGTATTTGCTTGTTTAGGTCTCTCTTTTGCAAAATAAGTCTACCTTTTCTACCTTTTCTGTTCTGGTACCTGTTGTAACCCCCTTAGTATTTGTATGTTTGGTGGCTTCTATATATTACAATTCAAACCCATAATAGGTAGTCCTTGACTTACAACCACAATTGAGCCCAAAATATCCTTTGCTAAATGAGACATTTGTTGAGGGTTGCTCAATTTTACGACCTTCCTTGCCACAGTTGTTAAGTGAATCGCTACACTTGTTAANTTGTAGATAGATAGATCTTCTGGACTCTTGTTAGTGTGCTTTGTGAAGCGAAGAGCTGCTCACCGCCTGGCCTAACGACAAAGGTTGCTTGTTCTGAGAAACATGACTTGGGATCAAAGTATCTCCTGGTTACCTCAGAGCAGTGTTTCTTATCTAGGTTTTCCTGGCTGTTTAATATACCTGGGGAGAGGTTTCTGGCACCTAAGATTGCTATACAGGTATTCCTTGACTTACTACCACAATTGAGTAGAAACATTTCTATTGCTGAATGAGACGGTTAAGAGAGTTTCGCTGACCTTCCTGGCCACAGTTGTTAAATGAATCACTACAGTTAAGTTAGTAACACCATTGTTAAGTGAATCTGGCTTCCCCGTTGATTTTGTTCGTCAGAAGGTCGCAAAAGGTATGACCCCCTGGGACGTTGCAGCCATCACAGATGTGAGCCAGTTGCCAGACATCTGAATTTTGATTAATGTAACCATGGAGATTCTGCAACAGTTGTGTGAAAAATGGTCGTAAGTCACCTTTTTCCTTTCTGTTGTAACTTTGAACCATCTTTAAAAGTACATGGTGCCTGTACTTGGACTTCTCTTTCCTTTCGTTTTTGCACAATTGTAATTGTATTTCTGTGTTTTTATTGAGACCTCCCCCCACTGCTTCCTTTCTGCTGTCTTTTTAGTATCAAAAATGTTATTAGTTTCTCAGAATGTAAAATACAAGGGAGAATGAAAATAATGGGAAACTAGGGAAGAAGAGAGGAGGGAAAAAAAGTGGGGTAGAAAGGAAAAAAGAAAAAGGCATTGATTTCTGACTCTTTTTAGCACAGTAGAAAATAACATTACAACTTCTAGTTTACTTTTATAATATATACTAGCCATTTCTCTAACAACGAACCTATCTAATCAGCAAAATCAAAATCAGAGCTTCGTTTTTTTCACCAGAAGCACAAAATCCAGGAGCGGTTTCCAAATAAAGACAAAATTACTATTCTTTTCTTTGAATAAAACAATGTAACTGTATCTACTTTTTTTTTCCTGGTGTAGAAAATAATACATATTTCTATTTGCACTATTCTGTGAGGATAAGCTGGAAGGAGTGATTTAAATTTTATGAGTTAATTGGAGTTAGGACAGATTTTTACTAGTCTGACATACATAATTGAAATAAAGTTCTGATATAGCTTTGTATTTGTAAAGTGGGTTTGAAAATATAGTTTTTATTGTATATAATGCTTGAGTAATTCCTAAAGCTTGTAAAATATTATTGAAAGTATATTTGAAAGTATCTTGTTAAGAGAAAGTGAAAAAGATGTATTAGAATTTAATGATTTTACAAATAGGATTAAAGAAAGGTTTTTAGATGGATGTTGAGAAAAAGTTTTTTTCCTCTTTAAGGTTGCCTGAAAGACTCGAGTGAATTTTGCTAATATAAAGAATGATAGTCTTTTCTGCTGTCTCAGTCGTATTTCGGTCTTCTTTTTCTTTGTTCTTTGTATTTCTCTCTTTTAATTTTGCTGTGGTTCTGAGCTCCATTTCTGCTAGCTGCTTGGGACACCTCCTAAAATTAAATATAAGTATTAGCTAGAGGGACATGTTGCTCAGTGGCTAAAATGCTGAGCTTGTTAATCAGAAAAGTCGGCAATTCGACATTTCGAATCCCTAGCGCTGCGTAACGGAGTGAGCCCCCGTTACTTGTCCCAGCTTCTGCTAACCTAGCAGTTTGAAGGCATGTAAAAATGCAAGTAAAAAAATAGGGACCACCTTTGGTGGGAAGGTAACAGTGCTCCGGGCATCTTTGGCGTTTAGTCATGCCGGCCACATGACAGCACTGGCTCTTCGGCTTTGTAACACAGATGAGCAGCGCCCCCTAGAGTCGGGAACGACTAGCACATATGTGTGAGGGGAACCTTTACCGTTAAGTATTAGCCCTCTTACTAAGGAAGCATGCTGTTGAAGTTGTCTGAGTGACGGTCTCCATTCCTCTACCTTTTCCAGAGTCCTGCACATCACAACTTCTTCCCGAACATCTTTGAGATCCTGAGCTGTGGTTGCCTCTCCTCCCCAGACCACCTGCAAGGGCTGGATTATGCTTGTCACGTTCTCCCTTTGCTTCATCATCTGGTTGAATCGTGGCTTCAAGTTACGGGAACGACGGGGCTGTACTTAGGGCCCGGCTGTTCATGCCAGCGGACCCGGGAGACTTTCACCTTCATGCAGAGCTCTTGAGAGGGAAGTGGGACAGCCACCTTCAGCTCACCCCTCTCTTCCACTTTTTCCCTCGCCGGTGCATTTGCTTGGCTTTTTCCAGGGGACTATGGGGAGCACAGAAGGCTTCCAGTATCGGGCCCTCTACCCCTACCGCAAGGAACGCAATGAAGACATCGATCTGTTACCTGGGGACACCTTGGTGGTGAGCAAGGGGGCCTTGCAATCACTGGGCTTTAAGGATGGAGATGAGCAGATGCCGAACCAGATTGGCTGGATTTTGGGGGTCAACGAGCGCACCAAACAAAAGGGGGATTTTCCAGGCACCTATGTGGAATATGTGGGGCCAGTGAAAATCTCTCTCCCGTCCCATCGTCCCAGGGTCACCAGGCCACTGCCCGCCACTCCTGGAACAGGGGCCTCCCACGCTCCAGAGGAACAGGGTGAGTACCTGCGTCCGGGTGCAAAGTGAGAGGAAGGGCTTGCAAGAGGGAGGAAGAAAGTGACTTGAAGTCAGGCTTTTGAAAAATACTGTTCCAGGAATGTCCAGTCCAGGGAAAGTCTACCAATAACAAGAACACACCATTCATTGTTCTGCTCCAACCAGTTTCCTGGTTCCTGTTGGCTGGACTTGCCATCTGCCCCCGCAGAGCGGGTAGGTAGGCCCAGCTGCTCCCGGTCTCCTGAGCGGGAACAGCCCGGAGGCTTGAGATGCCCTGCCCAGAATAAGGGGCATCTACACAGAGAAGTGATGCCTGGGTGCACACTGGAAGCCAGCAAGCAGTGTGGCCTCAAATTATGGGCTTCGGGGTCACGTGCAGTAACTACCACATCAAAGGGCAGAGAGGTTGTCGGAAAAGAAATCATAAGCTAGCCAAGGGAGACCATTTTTCTCATTAGGCTTCCCAGCATTTAGCCAGCGGAGGAGAGGAAGTCCTGCCAGGATGTGTTGTTGTTCTGTTAAATCGTAAAATCTATTTATATGTGGGTTGTTGTTTTTTTAATGGACAAACCAGGTACTCCCATCAGGGAGCTGCGAATGTTAAAAAGAAGGATGGATTTATTTTTGTAAAAACGCTTATAAATAATGCCAGGACCCAAGATCCTAGGCACATGAAATTGAAAGGTTGATGGATAGATACATCCCAATTTGGCACTTTCCAAAAATAGGTGGGTTCCCAGCTAGCAAAGCTGGGATGTGGTCAAACACACATTAAAAAACAGGTAGAGTTTGATTGTAACCACTCTGCTGAGTTTTTTGATGGTGTGGATACCCTCCTGCGGCTAAGAATTTTGGGAGTTATAGTCCATGCCAGAATGGAAGATGTTTGGTTAGACAAGTTTGGTTTAAATCAGTGATTCCCAATGTGAGGCCGACTCCCCATAGGGGGGCAATTTGGTTTTTAATGGGGGCAATTTGAAGCTTGTTTTAACCAAGTTGATGGTCTTTTAGGCTTCCTCCCTGTGAGCAGAGTTCACTTTTTGAGCAAAGTAAGAATTACATGTCACAGAGAGGGCATCAGGATTTTAGAGATGCTCAGGTGGGGCATGGCCAAAAAAAGGTTGGGGATCCCTGGTCTAAAGCCCCAACTAAAGAGAAGTTTTCTTTAAACAGCTATCAGTTTTTCTTTCTCAAGGCAGGTCGTCTTCAACTTACAACCACAGTTGAGCCCAATTATGAGTCTGTTGCTAAATGAGACATTTATTAAATTTGAGTTTTGCTCCTTTTTACAACTTTTCTTGCCACATTTGTTAAGCGAATCACTGTATTCTTAAATTAGTAACACGGTTGTTAAGTGACTCTGGTTTCCCCATGGACTTTGCTTGTCAGAAGGGGGGAAAAGGAGATCTTAATTCTTCATAGTGGGGGGAGAAGTATCCAGGATGGGTTGACCTTATCCTCTCGCTGATTGGACTGAGTCAGATAAGCTCTTGGGATACACCCCTGGTCCACCAGGCACTGCCCAGTTATCGACTCAGTCCCTTAACCGGACGGTTTGCCATTCTGGATCTCCGATAAATTTGAAGAATTTTAAAGAAAGCGAAAAAATTCATTTGTCTCCCTACCGCAGCAGCCGCATGTGAGCTGGAAGCTCCCTGAGCTGTGAAAGAATTGCCACCCCCCGGGGGGGCAGGCACACTGCCCAGGCCTCTGAGTGAGACAAGCATCACTCAGAAAAGAAATCTGCCGGGCAAGCAGGAGACAAAGGGCACAAGCCTTCCAAAGGCAAGCCCAGTCGCAAAGGCACCAGCGGTGCCGGAACGTTCCGCTGCTCCCCATAGGGTCGAGCGGCAAGCCGCAGCTTCCCCAAACCCCATGGGGCGCAAATCGGATTACCGGCAAGCGAGGGCGGCATTGGACCCCTGCCCAGAAGATGAGCCTCGTGTGGGAACTCTGCCGGGCGCCTGCTCCCTGCTGGGTTGAGCAGAGAACCACAGCTTCCCAAACGCTGCGGAGCACCCGCGCCATTGTCCACGTGGCCCACCTCATTGGAGGGGGTCCACGGGGATAGCCAAGGCTCTAGCGGTGCCAGAAAGCGGAAAAACTGGCGGCAGATGAACGTGACAGCTCCTCGGAGCACAAGCCGCCAGAATAGGAGTTTTAAAAGAGGCACCCTTTGTCTCCTGGCACGGGCGCTATCTTGAAGCCGGAAGGAGCCACGTATTCCAAGATAGCGGCGCCCAGCGGCAACAAGGAGACCGGCAGGACTCAAGTATCTGCAGCAACAGCAGGGGCAGAGGATCAGCCAAGGTTAGTGACCACCCCAGAGGCTGCTCAGAAGGGGGGGGGAGCAAAGGCTAGAGATAAGAAGAAGCACCTTTCCCTCAGGGCAGAGCTGGAGGCAGAGGGTGGTCACAAGCTTCACAAGCCTTCCAAGCTATCTAAGTATGAAAGGCGAAAGCACAGGAAGCTGGAGCAGCTCTACAAAAAGGCAAGTGGCCTTAAGTCCATTCCAGGCTTGGGACAGAAGGGGAAGGTCCCTGGAGTTCCTGCAACAGGCGGGGCTACAGGGGAGGCACCCACATTGCTAGCAAGGATCCCTATTGACCCATCAGGTCTTTGGGGTCTTCTTCAGGGGTGGCAATCCCCCCCACATATGATCAGTCCTGCCCACGGGGCTACCACCTCTGGTTTCCCCCACACACAAAGGTGGGCATGGGTTCCAGCCAGCAACCCACCACAGGGGTCCCCAATTTTCAAGACCTAATGATGCAGGCCTTCCAGCAATGCATGACCGCGGCATTTCAGCAGCCACAAATGGAACCTCAGGTGGCATCCTCTCCTAGGATATCAGAGGGGCTGGAAACCTAGGGGGAAGACAGTTCTAGTTCCTCAGCCTCATCACAAGAGGACAGTGACCTGGATTGCGAGGAAGGGGAAGTTAGGGAGGATAAACTATCCAAAGCTGAAGGCATGCCCCCTCTTAAGCTGGCCTTCACCGGGTTGTTCCAGCCTTCATTGTATAAGTCACTCTTGTTCAAGGCAAAAGCAGCCGTCAAGCTCAGAAACAGAGCAGCAGAAATACCACCTCAACACCAGGGGTTTTCTGCAGAAACCATCTTTGATGAGCAGTCCATTGAGACCGACATGGTGTCAACGCCCAAGACCTTTCTTGAGTCGGTCAAGCGCCAATGGGCTGCCCCCACAGCGGGGCCCACGCCCACATCCACAGACAAGACTTTCAATGTGGACCAGGACATGGCCAGAGTGCTATCTCAACCCTCCATTGATGCTCCATTATTGGCACTACATACCCCCCCTACTCTGCCAGGGGAACCAGAGGAGGCTCTGAAGTTGGAGGACAGGAAGGAGGACCTCACCCTCTAAAGGGAGCATCAAGCAGCAGCCTGGGCGGTGAAGGCAGCCACCACCACCTCCTTCTTCAACAGGTCTTCCCTACTCTGGCTGTAGGAACTGCAGCAACTTATCCCCATTACCGAGGTCAGAGCACACCAAGATATCAATAAACTGGTGGCGGCCATCCAATTTTCAGCGGATGCCACCTTGTCTGCAGCCAGGTTTGCTTCCAGGGCAATTGCTTCAACCATTGCATCTCGTAGGTTGCTGTGGATGAGACAGTGGCAGGTGGATGTTTGCCACAAGTGGCGCCTGGCATCTGCTCCTTTCACAGGAGATGCCCTTTTTGGGANAGTTATCAAATGTATACAGGTAGTCCTTTTCGTACAATTGTAATTGAACCTGCAATTTTGGCTTTAATTCGTGACGGTCATAAAGTGAGTTTCCATGTGACCGCACCTGATTGTACAGCCTTTTTTTTTTTTTGCCGTATGCTATGGACATTAAACGAATGCCACCGTTGTTAAACAAATCCATTATTCATGATGTGGCTTTTCTTTTGCCAGGAATATTGGTATGTTGTGTATACATAGCCCAAGTGCTGGATTTTGGCAAAAATATTATAAATTTCAATCACATGACTATAGGACAGAGCCGTAAATGCGGTCCAATTGCCAAGCATGGCCAAAATGGGCATGTAGCCGTGAGGATGTTGTGGATGTTGGAACTTCGAATTCAGATTAGATTTTTAAATAGCTTTTTGGGGGTATGCTATAACTTAAAAGTTCACCAAACGACTAGTTGTAGATACGCTCTCGTCACAAATGTGACTCTGGGCAGCATACAATAAAACAGTTAATAACAAGTATAAACTATTCGAAACAATTACATCAGAGGTGTTTTGGACCAGTTTGCCTGAACTGGTAGTGGAAATCGTGGGTGGCCTCCCCCCCAACCACCCTGGCTTTATGCCAGTGATGGCGAACCTTTTTCTTACGGCATGCCAAAATTGTGCACCCTCCCCAGCCTCCGGAGGCTTTCCTGAAGCCTGGGGAGGGCGAAAAACAGCCCAACGGACTAACCGGAAGTTCATTCTCGAACTTCCGTTTGGCCCGTTGGGGTCGTTTTCTGCCCTCCCCAACTTCCAGCGGCTTTCCTGAAGCCTGGGGAGGGCGAAAACAGCATCCTCTGGCCCTCCGGAAGGGTGAAAAATTAGCTGGCCGGAGCGCGCATGCTCACCAGAGCTGATGGCTGGCGTGTCACCAAATATGGCTCTGCGTACCACCTGTGGCATGCGTGCCATAAGTTCGCCATCATGGCTCTATGCTGTCCCATTTAGGCATCTTTTCAAGCCAAAGCACTTGCACAGAAGGCTAAGTGCATGCGCAGACAGGGCGTGTGTGCTCACATTTGCAAACCGGTAGGGAAGGTAAGTGAATTCCACCCCTGAATTCAAATATCAATTTTTCTCATTTAATTTTTTTTGCTGCTGCTCACATAATTTATAAGATATAGCCCAATATAGATAATCTCTATCAATATATAAAAAATGTACCAAAAATGTACTGTAATATACAATTATCAAATACAATTTCTCATCAGGTACAGGTCTTTGCCCCCAAAAATGATTTTCATAAATATCTTGCTTACTAAAAATCAAAGGAAAAACTGGGAGGGGGGGAATGGAAGAGAGTTCCATGTTATTTTCAAAGTATTATTATTATTTTTAATTAGATTTTGGTACTGCCCAAGATGAGAATACCTCTGACCCCTCAGTGTCACTACTGTCATAGTTTCTCCATTTTTATCAAAATTCTGGATTTAGGAATTTTGGTAAGCCAAGCAACTCAAGAAATTATCACTTAATCACAAGGATTGTGGCTTCCTGTTATTGTGCCATAATTTTGAGCCTAGGGCAATTGCTTTGGGCATTTATAGCCCCCCCCCAAATCCTCCCTCTGTATCCATGAAAAAAAAATACATGATCTTTTCCTTCTATTTCCAGAGTTGCCTTGGAGAGAGAGAAAGACAGCATATAAATTTAATAAATTTTAAAAAGTCTTCCCTTTTGAAATCTGCTTTTTTTGCTTTCTCCAATTATTTCAGGCCTTTTGCTGACCTGTCTTTCTGTCCATGTTTCAGGGGTGACACTTCCAGAACTTTCTGAGCAGTTTGCCCCGCCCGAGGTCGCCCCACCTCTGCTGTGTAGGCTGGTGGATGTGATTGAGAAGAAAGGTGAGCCAAAGGAGACAGTGGGGTGGTGTGAGAAATTTGGCTCAGAGGCAGCACCTGCAAGCTACACAGGGGGGATGCTGGTATTTAGGGTAACTTTTTGAAGCTTCCCTGCTGGTGTTAAGACAGTCTGGATGGAAGACCACCTGGTGCTTTTTATGGGGACTCAGTTACATGACTGTTGTGGCCCACCACTGGAGCTGGCAGCAGATTCGGACAGTGAGGAGGTTGGGGAAAAACATGGGCCAGTCCTGGAGTCTGGGGAAGGCTCTGATGAGGGCTCTGTGTCGGAGGCAGAGAGGGGGCCAGAGCCGTATGCCGGTTATCAGCTGCCTTCAGAGTCAGACATCAGTGAGGCAGATGAACAGCTGGAGCCTGTTCCTGGTGTGCGCATGCGCAGAGTTGCCGTACGAAGGGAACAGCTAAAGAACAGGGGTCAACTTGGGAGGAAGGCCGATGAATGGCCCTTCCAGAGGAAGTAAAAGAGGAGCGAAAGGGGAGTGGAGTTTGCAGGAGACAATTAATTTGCTTAATTGGTTCTTGACTCTCCGAGACTCCTTGCCAAACTTTGCAGATATCGGCCTGTCAGCTCTCCAAGCCAGAGAAGGCCTGTGACTGTAAATCCTCCCTTGAAAGACTTTGCTGGATGTGAATGAACATTATTCACATATTCATTATTTATGAACAGTAATTTAATAAAAGGAGTTTTTGTCAGGACAAGGAGTTTGCTTCATGCTCTTGGGAAGCCTAGGTCAGAACAATGATGGATAATAAAGAATCAGTGATTAATGGGTTGGGTAACCTAGATTTTTTCCCATTTTCAACTGACAGGAGCTCATAGGGTAGCTTTAAGCCATTCTCTCAATCCAATTTACCTCACAGGGTTGTTGTAGAAAAAATGAAGGAGGGAGCAGAGCCCTATTAATTGAATTCCTGAGCAAAAAAGCAAGATATAAATGTAATGAAGCAAAAGCAAGCAAAATCAAGGGCTTGTCCATACCAAATGGAGTATAAATAGTTCTAGTGAGGCCCTATTTTAAAATAAATAAATAAATTTGTATTATTAATCCCTTGCTTTCTAGGTAACAAGGGCTTAATAGAAGGGAGGAATCGTACTCAGAGCTGGTGGCTCAGAGATTCTCTGGCTCAGGGGTTGCTGCAGGGGTGAAATATTGCAGGTTCTGGAGAACCGGTAGCGGAAATTTTGAGTAGTTCAGAGAACCAGCAAATGCCACCTCTGGCTGGACCCAGAATGGGGTGGGAATGGAGATTTTGCAGTATCCTTCCCCTGCCATGCCCACCAAGCCACACCCACAGAACCGGTAGCAAAAATATTTGAATTTCACCACTGGGTTGCTGGTTCAAAATAGGCTTGGGGCCAAAGTTCAATGCGTAGCCCATCTTCTCAAAACCCCGGTTAGGATTCAACATGTTGGGTAGCGCACAGACAAATCAGCGGAATTGGAGTTGAAGAGAGGAATATATTGGCAGGGTTATTTCCTGTCGTTAATTCTCTTAAGAGGGGGGTGGGGTGCGTGGAAAAGCTGTCTTCCCTCCCTTTTTGGAAGGGTTGATTCCCCCCGGGATGCTGGCGCTACTAAGATTTCCGCTCTGCGGCCAAAGTAGATAGACATCCATGAGTCAGTCTGGTATAATGATTGGAGTAACAGGCAAGGATTGGAAAGGCCAGATTCATAAATTGGAGGTGTGGAAGCTCATCGGGTGACATTATCCCAATCGGCTTCCTTCTGCCTATCCTAACGAGGTTCTTGGTGTAGGCCCCGAGCATCTTAAGGAAAGGACGGGATACCAAAGTATAAATATGAAGATGTGCAGGTGGGGAAACAGGAAACAGTTTTTTCTTTTCCTAAGCCTTGGCCTTACTCGTACCATTTCTATTTCCCTGCCTCCAAAAGTGCAGCGTCCCCAGCTCCCTGCCCCCCACCAGGAAGAGGGGGGGTGGGAAATCTCCTTTGTGAAGCTAATCCAATCTGCTGTGTGTTGCTTTTGCAGGGTTAGACAGCAAGATGCTCTACAGAACATCTGGCTCCGAACTAAGGCAAGCACTGAGAACCGGTAAGAACCAGTTCTGCGGGGAGCAAGCGAGGCTGATCAGATGGAAGAGATTAGAGGCTGCAGCAGCAGTGCCTGTATTCAGAGCTTCGCAGGCCGAGGCAGGGAGGGCAGAAGCAAAGAGATGAGGGGGGCAAAGCGCCTCTTTCTGATTTAAAAAGCCGGAAAAAGCACCCTGTGAGTCGTGAGTCGTGAGCCCATTTAGTTAACTCGCTCTCAGTTCAAAAGCGGAGGGAGGCCGGAGGGTTATACCACCCACCCGCAGGGCTCTGAATATTTTTTCTGTGGGTTTGGGTGGCCTTGTGTTCTGCAGGCAGAAGATCGCAGGACATTGCCAAGTTGGCCACCTCAGCCTAAATGGGCTGTTTTGACTGGCAGGAGGCCACTCTTGTTCAAGATCTACTTGGGTTTTCTGCATGCGTAGGAAGAGAAAGTAAATTGGGAAACACTGGACACATTTAAATCTGGGAAGCATATTTTGGTTTCCTGCAAAATGGATGCCACGGGGGTGGGTGGGTGGGTGTCGTGCATCCACAACATGGCTGCCGCCGTGGGGATAATTAGTCACCAAAGAACCACTTACCAGAAGGAAAACAGATAAGCTTGCTTTTTGTCACCATCCCTAAAATCCCCCCCAAGTTCCTGGCTATCTCAGTTTATCATTGTCAGGAAATGGTGATCCTAGACACATCCCCATTTTTATTTTCTAAACTCACATTCAGTTTATTTTATTTTTTTAAGTAGCTGATACTTGAGGCTGGGTCCTTTCTGAAAGTCAACTTTTTGCTTAGATGCGCTGCCATGTGCGTGGATGCCAAAACCACCAGCAGCCACACTGGTGCATCTCTGAACTTTCAGCTGCCCTGTTTTGAATTCCTTCCGTTGACTTTAGCCCACACAAGTTAGTTTAGGTCATCTGGGAAGTGCTTGTATTAAAAGGAACTTTAAGGCAGTTGGAGAGTCAGAAGGCCTGGTAGGTCTTGTAAGAAGATCTACAAGCAGTATTAGTGATGGGATTCAGCCGGTTCGCACTGGTTCGGGCAAACCAGTTGTTAAATTGCCACCCACCCACCCATCCCCACTATCAAAGTGGATCCTGGGCACTGTGCTGCAATGGAGAAAGGGGCAACGAAGCAGCCCACGCGAGGGAAGGAGAAGGACACTTTCCCTCTTCCTTCTCCTGCTCCTCCTCCTTCCCTTGTGCCGAGAGCCGAGGTGGCACAGTGGTTAAATGCAGCACTGCAGGCTACTTCAGCTGACTGCAGTTCAGCAGTTCGGCTGTTCAAATCTCACTGGCTCAGGGTTGACTCAACCTTCCATCCTTCCGAGGTGGGTAAAATGAGGACCCGGATTGTTGGGGGCAATATGCTGACTCTGTAAAGCGCTTAGAGAGGGCTGAAAGCCCTANGTAATCCCCAAGGCATCAGGGGGCTGGAGGGCAATTCTCGACCTGAAAGGTCTGAACCGCTTCATCCGTTATAGGAGGTTCAAAATGCACTCTCTCCACTCCATCTTGGAGGGGATCAGGCAGGGGGACTTTCTCACTTCCATAGACCTCACAGAGGCCTACCTACACATTCCAATCATTAAGGACCACCAGAAGTATCTCAGGTTCTGCTACCTAGGGTATTACTTCCAATATCGGGCTCTGCCCTTCGGCCTGTCTTCCGCCCCACAAGTTTTCACCAAAGTAATGGCTGCTCTGGCGGCATGTCTGAGACAGGTCCCGGTCAGGATTCAATGTTATTTAGATGACCTGCTGATACAGTCATCCTCCTTTGAGAGGGCTCTAAGGGATCTAGACATCACGTTGACAATCCTGAGGGACCATGGGTTCTCAGTGAATCTGGCTAAAAGCCATCTCTACCCATCCACTAGTCTAATCCACCTAGGGGCTCTGATAGATTCAGAGGAAGGCAGGGTCTTTCTGTCACCAGAAAGACAGCTCTCCCTAAGACGGCTAGCTACCCAGCTAGTTACAGGAGGTAGGGTAGGCACATTTATGGCGCAACCTGGCGGCCTTTTCCGCATGGTTTAACTCCCGGGGACAGAACCCAGTGAGAGCCACCGTTCCCTTAGTGCTAGAATTCCTCCAGGCAGGCCTGGACAGGGGGCTAGCTCCCAACACGATTAGGAGACAGGTCTCGGCCATCTAATCCATCAAACTTCTTCGCCGATAACTGGGCGGTGCCTGGTGGGCCAGGGGCGTATCCCAAGAGCTTATCTGACTCAGTCCAATCAACGAGAGGATAAGGTCAACTCATACTGGATACTCCTCCCCCACTATCAGGTAGGTACCAATGCCCTTTCTCTGGGACACTGCAACCATCATAAATGTGGGTCAGTTGTCAGGCATCCAAATGTAAATCACATGACCTCTCTGAAACGGTTGTGTGAAAAACGATCATAAGTCACTTTTTTCGGCGCCATTGTAACTTTAAAGGGTCACTAAATGAACTGTTATAAGTCGAGGACTACCTGTAAATGTTTTCTTCCCTTTCCATTGCAGGTAGTCCTTGATTTACAACAGTTTATTTAGTGACTGTTCAAAGTTGCAATAGCACTAAAAATGTGATTTATGATCATTTTTCACATTTACGACCATTGCAGCCTTCCCATGGTCATGTGATCAAAATTTGGACACTTGGCAACAGATTCACTTTTGGGTCACAAAAAGTGATCCGTGTTTGTGACCTTCCGACAAGCAAAGTCATTGGGGAAGCCAGATTTACTTAATAACCATGTTACTAACTTAACAATTGCAGTGATTCACTTAACAACTGTGATACGAAAGGCCATAAAATGGGAGCAAAACTCCATTAACTGTCTCGCTTAGCAACATAAGTTTTGGGCTTAATTGTGGTCATATGTCAAGGACTATCTGTACCTGACTAGCCACATCTTTGGGAGATAATGACTCCTTCCTGGTATTGTGGCTCCTGTTGATTTTCAGAATGAATGATTCAGCTTTCTTTTTTCACATGTGACTTACTACTAATATAATCCTTGGTGGGTTATGGGCTGAGCTCTCTCTGAACCCCAATCCCTGCCTTGCTGTGATGACTCGGCTGGCCCCTAAAAGTCTGGACAGATTGTGAGAAAATACAATAAGCTGGGTGCAGGGCTACCAGTTGTGGCAAATATTTCTAGGAAGAAGTTTTGTTTTGTCTCCTTGACAGGACAGGTGTGAGATTTTTTTTTGGTTTAAAATCCCCACATTGGAGACATTGAAAATAATTTGAAAAACTTTCTGCATCCATATGTGAACAATGCTGGGTGGGGGAATAGTTTAAGTGCTTGCTGGAAAAAGAAAGAGAAAAAGAAAAAGAGAAAAAGAGAGAAAGAAAGAGAGAGAAAGAAAGAGAGAAAGAAAGAGAGAGAAAGAAAAGAAAAAAAGAGAGAGAGAGAAAGAGAAAGGAAAGAAAGAATGAAAAAGAAAGAAAGAGAAAGAATGAAAGAGAGAAAGAGAAAGAAGAGAGAGAGAAAGAGAGAAAGAAGGAAAGAGAGAGAAAAAAGAGAGAAAGAGAAAAAAGAAGGAAGGAAAGAGAGAGAGAAAGAAAGAGAAAAAAGAAAGAAGGAAGGAAGGAAAGAGAGAAAGAGAAAAGAAAAAAAGAGAAAGAAGAGAAAGAAGGAAGGAAAGAAAGAGAGAGAAAAAGAGAGAGAAAGAGAAAAAGAAGGAAGGAAAGAGAGAAAGAGAAAAAAGAAAGAGATAGAGAGAGAAAGAAAGAGAAAGAAACAGGAAAAAAGAAAGAAAGAAAGGGAAGTAAAGAGAAAGAGAAAAAGAAAAGAGAAAGAAAAAGAGAGAAAGAAGGAAGGAAAGAAGGAGAGAGAGAGAAAAAGAAAGCGAGAGAGAAAAAAGAAAGAGAGAGAGAAAGAAGGAAGGAAGGAAAAAAAGAAAGAATAATAGCACCAGAAGCAAAAAAAGTTCTCTTGGCCCATTTTTTTTTCATTTTCCCTTGAAAAAAAATTCTTATCAAGGTAGCTGAGAACAGAAACGGAATTCTTTACAGGCAGCCAAAATCAGCTTTCCTTCCCGTTTCCTTTTTCATCGGCTAATTTTCATTGAAGAAGGGAGGCCCAATGCTGAACCATTGGAAGGGGGAAATGGCCTGCTTGGTGTATGTGTTTTACTCACACACACACACACACAGATAAATGAGCGTGCGTGCGTGCACACACTGTTTCACAATCAGGAATGTGCTGACTTGACATTCTCCGGCTGAGCCAGAGGATTTGACGCCGTCGGCTCTGGGGCTTGGGGGCCAGAGCTGGCCTAAGGCCAGCTTGCAAGGAAACAGTCCGGGAGCGTTTCTGGCTTTTTTTTTAGTGGGGTGACCAAGAGTGCTTTAAAAGAGGTAGGAATAGGTTTTAAATTTCTTTTTTTTTTTTCCTTACAGAGTGCAAAGTAGAGCCAGGGCAGCTGCAAAGGGCACTCCTGGGCAAGAGGAATTGGCACCTGTTTCACAAGTGAAGCCAACTGATTGCCAGATGCCCAGTTGAGTCTGGAAAAACCAGACCTTATTTAAATAAAATCAGGACAATTAGCAGGTCATAGTGGAAGTTCCTTGCCACTTTTATGGTTCTCGGAGATTATAAGTGAATAAATATAAAGATTAAAATTCTAGCCCTTGGCATCTGGACAGGTTCCACCTTTTATGATCATCCAGCTTTTATATTTATTTATTTTTACCTTGAGTTCCTTAAAAATGTGTGCAGCCTTTTGACTCCTTAGAGCCCTTCAGTTATGCCATCCGTAATCTTTCCAACAATTGTTCAAAAACATGCCAGTGTTATTATCCCAAATTGCAGTTGGAAGGATCCTAATCCCAGAGCCGCTGTTTGGTTATGTTTGCACAACATACTTCACCCTAAATTTAAGATAGCAATGTCCCACATACGCTTGGGTCACACACATACTACCCTCATATAAACCTGTTTTGCTTACTGTGGTGACCTTGTCACACAACTCATTAAGACAATCAGTGGATCATGTCCCATATCACGCTGAATCACAAACTACGCACGTCATTTGAACCCACTGTCTTGAGCTGCAGGAATTCAGTCTTGTTTCTGTTCATTCCTTTCATTGTGATTCTGTATTAATAATAGGTCACAGTAGCTGTATTAATGATAGGTTATCACTGGACATATTTACTCAGTTATCAAATGTATACAGGTAGTCCTTTTCGTACAATTGTAATTGAACCTGCAATTTTGGCTTTAATTCGTGACGGTCATAAAGTGAGTTTCCATGTGACCGCACCTGATTGTACAGCCTTTTTTTTTTTTTGCCGTATGCTATGGACATTAAACGAATGCCACCGTTGTTAAACAAATCCATTATTCATGATGTGGCTTTTCTTTTGCCAGGAATATTGGTATGTTGTGTATACATAGCCCAAGTGCTGGNCCACTGCCATGCTGGCAGTTCCACCCATCCAGTTCCGGTCAGGTGCAGAGGTGGAAAGACAAAGGATGACCTTGTCTTTCTAGAAAGAATTTTGTTATGGCTACATTGCATCTCACTCCGTACAATCCCTCCTCCCATTTCCCCACATTAGAAAATGCCTAGTAGAATAACAGAAAATATGGCAGCCAAAAGAAAAGATGGCTGCAGGCCTGACAAAGAACTTTGATGGGAAAGGAAAGCTTTAGAGTGGAGGCTAGGCAGGAGGAGAGAAGCACGAACAGCTGCAAGCTGGGACAAAGAGCAGGAAGTACGGGCCTGGCAGAAGAAGACAGCCTCTTAAAAAAAAACAAACACTGACTTAAATCCTTTTTGCTCGCCTTACACCAGGAAAGGATCTAGCACAGCTTATGTAGAATCAGTAAGAGAGAGATTTGTCCCAGCATGTAAGTTTACAGCAGAGGCCTTCAAACCTGGCCACTTTAAGACTTGTGGACTTCAACTCCCAGAATTCTCCAGGCAGAGTTGAAGTCCACAAGTCTTAAAAGTTGCCAAGTTTGAAGGCTTCTTGGCTTATAGTGTAAAATACACAGCATAAAAGAGAGGGAAAGAAGCAAGGCTGAGAAGGAAAGAAGCAATCAACCCATTGATCAATCCGGGCATCAGCTCTTAAAGTTCTCTTAATAAAAACATCTGAGACACGGGAGAAAGCCACAAAGATTTGGTTGGTCAGCAGGACTGACATCATATCCTGATTCTCTGCCTTGCTTCAGCCTCTTGTTTTCTCAGTCATTTTGCCCCGTAATTTCTGGATTCCCTCCATGTTTTTTTTCCCCTCCCAGGATTTAATTTGAACGCTCGGTGGGGTTCTAGGTATGTAAGGGAGTGCCAGTTTCCCTAGTCTTCCTAGAAGACATAGACATGTTTCAGTATGCCCAACCTTTGGGTGCAAAGATGTGTTGGAAGAAATATCCTTCTGGGTTCAGTTCCAAGTGGGGAAAAAGACACCAGAAACATGGAGGCTGCTTGGAAAGATGGTTTAATGGTGGACAGGATCACGTGGCTTAAGGTCCTGAACAGAAAAGGGGGGTCACATGGTTCCAGATGTTGGGTGAAGAAGAAAAGAGAACCAGATGCTGAAAATTCCTGGCTTTATGCCCTCTCTGGCCTTTGATCTTGAGCTTGTATTCTGATTGGTTGTCAGACTCCCACAGGGCCATGCAGGGGTAACTCTCTAGACTGTGCTTTGAGTCCATGTTTGGTTGAGCATCGCTTCTTCCCAGGTGCCCTGTGGGGAGATGGGTAAAGGGCTAATACTATCATGCCTTAATCCCATCGCCTTGGAGCTGAAGGGGGAGGTCTTTGTTATGTAGAATAGACTGGCACGGGCCTTTTAATGGCCCATTGACAAAAGTGTGGGCTATTAAGAGTGAGTCTCTTTCCTACCTAAAAACATGTATCTCCATTATCCAGGGAAATATAATTTTCTCCCTTCTTAATATTTCCCAGGATATTTCATTTTTCTAGGAGAGGGGTAGGTTTTAACTTCCTACAGATGCACAGATTCTCAAGCCTCTCACTCTCTCTTTTCCTTTTGGGAACCGACTCCTGCTCCTCTCCAGATGTTCCCCAGCCGGAGCTTTGTCAAAAGCAGCTGCTTTCAGTGTTGGAGTCTCCAGCCATGCCTCTGCCACACCTCCTCACCTTCCAGTTCCTGCTCCGGCACTTTTCCAAGGTGGCCGAACAAGCCGAAAGCAATGGGTTGTCACCTCGGACCCTGAGTGAGATCTTTGGGGTTCTGCTCCTTCGGCTCCCTGCAGCTGCCAGGTGGGTGAACCCCAAATCCCCCTCTGCCTTAAGGCAAGGATGCTCCCTTTTATCGGAGCTCCTGAAAATACAACAGGGGGATGGAAATAGGTCTGGAAAGTTGCTGGGCCAGAAGTAGCCAATGCTTCTTTAAAATGGAGCTGAAGCCTATTTGATTTTTGTCGTTTTAATGCTCCTATAGTTATAATTGCTTTTATAATTCTACTTTTTTGCATTGCATTGCATTGCATTGCCTAAGCAGGGGGTTGGACTAGAAGACTCCACGATTCCTTCCAACTCTGTTATTCTATTCTATTCTATTCTATTCTATTCTATTCTATTCTTTCTATTTCTATTTCTACTCTATTTCCATTCTATTCTATTTCTTTTCTACTTCCATTCCATTCTATTCTATTCTATTTCTATTTCTATTTCTACTCTATTTCTATTCTATTCTGTTTCTATTCTATTCCATTCCATTCCACTCCATTGTATGAGTCACTTTGGGTAACAAGATGAATGGCATATAAATTTAATAAAAATAAATAAAGAGGGATGGAATGGAGAGGTCTTTTTTTACATGAGAAAAGACCCCCCCCCCAAAAAAAAAGACCACTACAACAGTGGAACAGGGTATCTATGGAGGTTGTGGGTTCTCCATCTCTGGAAGCTTGTACGAAGATGCTGAGCTTCCCTGTTTAGGAGCATGGTTCAGTTCAGGGGTCTCCAAACTTGGCAACCTTAAGACTTGTGGATTTCAATTCCCAGAAATCCTCAGCCAGCAAAGAATTCTGGGAATTGAAGTCCACAAGTCTTAAAGTTGCCAAGGTTGGAGACCCCTGCTTTAGTTGGTTTTTGGGTGCATTGCCAAGGGTAAGATTAGGTGGTCCTTGTTGTCGCTTCCAATTCTATGGTGAGACCGGCATGTTTATCTATAGATTTGGATTCTGAAGGGTTCTTGATGCTCTCTGAGCTTGGGTAGGTTTTGTTTTGTTTTTGTTTTTTGCAGACATTTCATTATCCAATAAACACTCATGATGTTATCTAGTTTGGGTAATGAAACGCCTGCAAGAAAACAACCAAGCTCAAAACCTCATTTCAATCCTGAGCTGTTTATATTCTCCTTTATTTAATTTAGATTCTGTGTTGTGGCCTGCCAGTGGCCAGCAGAACTGGCAGCAGATTCAGACAGTGAGGAGGTTGGGGGGAAAACATGGGCCAGTCCTGGCGTCTGGGGAAGGCTGTGACGAGGGCTCTGCATCAGAGGCAGAGATGCGGCCGTCTGACAGTTATCAGCTACCTTTGGAGTCAAACTTCAGTGAGGCAGATGAACAGCTGGAGCCTGTTTCCAGTGTGCGCATGCGCAGAGTTGCCAGACGAAGGGAACAGCTCAAGAACAGGGGTCGACTTGGGAGTAAAGCCACAGGTAGACGATGAATGGCCCCTCCCAGAGGAAGTAAAAGAGGAGTGAAAGGGGAGTGGAGTTTGCAGGAGACAATTAGTTCCCTTAATTGGTTAGTGACTCTCTGAGATTCCTTGCCAAGTTTTGCAGATATCGGCCTATCAGCTCTCCAAGCCAGATAAGGCCTGCGACTGTAAATCCTCCCTCAAAAGACTTTGTTGGATGTGAATGAGCAGAATCCACAGTCAATTAATAAAAGGGTTTTTTTTTTCGGGACAAGGAGTTTGCTTCATGCTCTTGTGGAGCCTTGGTCAGAACATTCTGTTTGGATTTGCAGTCAGAAATTAGAAATTTGCATGGGGCGGATCAGACTTATGGCAGCTTCTGGCATGAAGGGCACTGATGATGTTGCTTAGTATGGGTAATGAAACGCCTGCAAGATAACAACCAAGCTTAGAGAGCACCAAGGACCCCTCGTGTCAACCCTGAGCTTACCAAATATCCTCTGTCAATGAAAGAGGAAAGCTTGTATGTTCAAAAATTATTTTCCCAGAGTGAGGAGCTCGGGCTCTGAATTTCTTTCATTAGCTGAGGCGCTCAGCTGCTGCCCCCGTACACGCCGATGCATAACCTTCTCCTGTTCCTCCCACAGCTCTGAGACGGCGCCTGATTTTCCAAACCTCTTCCTGGAGACTCTTCTGCAGGCAAAGGACACTGAGCCAGACCTTCCCCCTCCAGGTAGGGAAACCTTGTGTCTTTGTGTATGGTGCAGGAGAAGGGATTATGGGGAAGGGGTGCTTTGCCTAGGAGACAGGTAGATTCAAGGGTGAGCTACTGGGAGTTCGCAGGGGTTTGGGAGAACCTCTAGCTAAGGTTCTGTGCAGTTTGGAGAACCCCCAAATCCCACTCCTGGCTGAGCCAGCCCACCACATCCTGTCCCTCCCAGGAGTCCCCACATTTTGGATGCAGGTAAGTGCAGGGCACACGCGGAAGCTCGGGGAGGGCAAAAAACGGGCCTATCAGAACTTCGGGGCTCCGGAGCCTAGGGAGGCTGTTTTTGCTCTCCCGGAGGGTCGAGGAAAGCCTCCAGAGCCAGGGGAGGGCAAAAAGCTCACCCTACCCCTCCGCCCTTGTGCAGGAGGCCGACTAGGCCACGCCCACCATGGCTACGCCCACCCAGCAACCAGGCAGAGAACACCATGATTTAAAAAAATTATAATAATTTTTTATTTTTGAATAAACACAAACAGACAAAACACAACAAACACCACAAAAAATATCTTCCGTTACAAATTGTAACGAGTGTGTCAATTGGCTACAAAGAGATTTCGTGCATCCCTTCCACAGTCATCACCTACAACTCATATCAAGTTATATGTTAACTTGATGAAATTTTTGAAGGTCAACCCTGGGTAGATGTAGTTGGAACACGGCAGCAGCCTTGACCAGCGACTCCTCCAGATGTACTGAACAGCTTCCTTGGTTAGGAAGTTGGAGATCAACACACCTGGAGAGGAACAAGTGGAGAAAGGCTATGTATGTGTATGCGCTGAATGCCAAGGTCCCTAGTTTGTTCAACCCCTCCAGGGTGGGTTGACTCTTCTGCATGTAATTGAGAGGAATGGGAGGAGTGGTGCAGTGGCCTAAAGGTGGAGCTCTTGCCTCACAATCAGGAGGCTGTGAGTTTGATCCTAGGTAAAGGCAGATGTTTCTCTCTTGGGCACAATTGAGAATGTATATGCTGAACAAAACTCCGCACTGGTGACAGGAAGAGCATCGGGCCATTAAACACTCCGCTAGCTCCATTCAGTTGCCAAGACTCAGCTCCGCAAGGGATGATGGGGTGGTTAAAAGAAGATGATGAATGGGAGGACTTCCTTATTATGAAATACTATTGGGTCTCCATGCTCCTTTTCAAATAGCACGGTGGTCTTCCAGGATAGAGTTGATAGGGTTCCTTTCAGCCGCCCTGGTCTTCTCTTTTCCAGCTTTGCCTCCGAAGCCACCCAAAGCCAAACCTGCAGCGGTTTCTCTAACCAACGGGAACGGCACAACCCTGCAGGATGCGGAGTGGTACTGGGGAGACATCTCCAGGTAAAAGAGTGGGGGAGGGACACCCAAGTGAGCTAGACTGCAGTCATGGGGGGGAGGGGGTATGTGGGAGGGACAATTGGGTCAGAATGGGACTTTCTGGAAGTGGGATGGAAAAGTGTGTTGAGACTTTCCTTGCTCTCTCCACAAACCTTTCAGTGGTTAATTCAACTGTAAATGGGTTTGCCAGTCTTTCTTCTGTCGAAAATGGTGCCTCCAGGTAATTTTCAGGAAACTGTTTGAAAGAAGAGATTTAGAACACGAAACATAGAACAATAGAGTTGGAAGGGACTTTGGGGGCCTTCTAATCCCACCTCCTGCTCAAGCAGGAGATGCTATACCAGGGGTCGGCAACCTTAAACACTCAAAGAGCCATTTGGACCCATTTCCCACAGGAAAGAAAACACCGGGAGCCACAAAACCCTTCCGGTGCCTAACTATTTCCTGAGCGATGACAAAACTAGCATATGTAGTTGAATTAAACGTTCTGTTTTCTTCTGATTTTTTTTTTATTTTCCTGGATTTATCCATGGTTGGCCTACTGGGGGGGTCAAAAAGCTCAATAAATTGCGGTGCATATTTTGAGTGACAGGGAGCCACAGTAGAGGGTTGAAAGAGCCACATGCAGCTCCGGCCCCACAGGTTGCTGACCCCTGCGATATGCCATTTCGGACAAATGGTTGTCTGAATCATTTGGACTCTGGCAGAGATTGACGCCTCCTTGTGGGTTTGGAGAGTCAGGTGCCCCTTGGCAGCGAAAGGAGCCTGGTATTCTCTGTCCCATTTGCCATTTCCTTGGGGCTGTAGAAGAATTGGATGGAAAGGATGTCACTGTTGGAAAGCCAGGACCGGCACTAGCGTTCGAAGAACAATATTGCACAATCTGGGCCAAGTTCTCAGTGTGCTACAAATTGCCCCAGTCCCTCTCTTTCTCCACCCAACTGTGGGATTGTTGTGAGGATAAAATAAAATCAGAGGGGATTAGCTCTTAGGAGACTCTTAGGGAGATGAGTGTCAAACGGCAACTAAACGGTGATTCCAGGTGGACTGGAGGTTCGTATGTGCAGTGCAAACACACACAAACACACACATTCTTTTGAGGCTTGTTCTGTGAACTCCTCCTGAGACATGATGCCACCATTGTGGATAAAGAACTTGTTCTTCCCTTTCTCCCAAGACCTACCTACAATTCTTGTTGCCTTCAAAAGACAGCCAACGTTATTTTCCATTTCTCTTGGCCTGTGGCTAGCCCAGAGCACCTATTCCCTTCCCTTCTCACATGGAGTGTATCAGGGAACTAAATAGAGCAGACTGACAGGGTAAAAAGAATACAAGAGGACTGGTGTTCTTTCTTTCTTATTTTTTTTCCCTTTTCCTTTCCTTTTCCTTTCTTCTCCTCTCCTCTGATCCCCTCCCCTCCTTTCCTTTCTTCTCCTCTCCTCCCTTCCCTTCCTCCCCTCCTTTCCTTCCTTTTCCTCTCCTCTCCTCCGCTCCCCTCCTTTTCTTTCTTCTCCTCTCCTCCCTTCCCTTCCTCCCCTCCTTTCCTTCCTTTCCCTTTCCTCTCCTCTGCTCCCTTCCTTTCCTTTCCTCCCCTCCCCTCCCCTCCTCATCTTTCCTTGTCTTTCTTTCAGTTGGGCTGCTTTTAAATTGTATAAGCAAACAGACTTTACAAATAGTTATGGCCACCCGTGTTAAGCTAATTACTCTGGACGAGAGATTTAACTTTCTAGAGGAGGCCTGGCACTTACAGGGGCTCCTCCAAACAGCATTGCCAACATGTTCCAAATGCATTTGTGTGTATGGAGATCGTAAGTCTTGATCCAAATCTTCCTGCCTCTTTTTCAGGGAGGAAGTGAATGAAAAACTCCGAGACACTCCTGATGGTACCTTCCTGGTGAGGGATGCTTCCAGCAAGATCCAGGGTGAATATACATTGACCCTCCGGTACGTCTCAATTTCACTTTGTTGGGGGGCTGATAGGATGGAATATGCAGTTGGAAGAGCGGGGCGGGGCAGGGATGATAACAGACACACAGAGCTTTCCCAGAGAAAGGCCTGAGTTAAGACTTTGCATAGTTCCAAACTAGAAAGGGGAACAGAAGAGGCTTAGGGTAACCACACCTTAGAACCGGGATGGCAAACGTATGCCAGACGTGCCAGAGATGGCACACAGAGCCAGAGGTGGATTGCTGCCGGTTGGGCCCAGATTGGCGAAGCCGGTAGTAGTGATGGCGGGAGGCTCCGCCCATCCACCTGGACACATGCGCAGAAGCATTGCGCACATGCGGGAGCACGCCCAAACCGGTAGTAAAAAAATTGGCAACCCACTCTGCACATAGCCCTCTCTGTGGCCACCCGCACTGGCCACCTGGTCTTTGGGTTTCCCGTGTGTGTGTGCATGCCAGCCAGCACAGGTCTTTGTGCGCACTGGAGCACCAGAAACCTGAAGACCAGCTGGAAAGCCAAAGACCAGATGGCTGGTCATGCGCACGTGCGTTTCAGTTTGGGCACTGAGTGCGGAAAAGGCTCGCCATCACTGCCCTAGAATCTCTCAGGATGTATCTAGTAGGTTGGAATACTATAACTTTCATTTGGCAAGATTCTGTCCACTAGGTGTAAGCAATAGAGGATTGGACTTGACTGCGTCTCACTGTCTCTTCTCTGGGTTTGGGCTTTAGAGAGGGTGAGGGGCCCAGGCATGCAGTGGGGAAAGAGACAAGGGGGAGAAGTGGTGTGTTGCTTCGAAGCCTGGATGGGCTGAATGTCGGGTCCTCCATCTCTCTTGACAGGAAAGGGGGAAACAACAAACTGATCAAGATTTTCCACCGGGAAGGCAAATATGGCTTCTCAGAGCCACTGACCTTTGGCTCTGTGGTGGAACTCATCAACCACTACCGGCACGAGTCCCTGGCCCAGTACAACGCCAAGCTGGACACTCGGTTACTGTACCCCATCTCCAAGTACCAGCAGGTGAGAGGTGGTTGTTACTCACTGTGCACCACCAGAATGGAAACAGGATGCCAAATCACCTGAGCGCTTCCTGAGTGGAAGGAAGTCGTCTGATCGGAAGTGGGTAGAGTTGTTGGTTATGGTTGCTAAGTGAAACTTCTTTCTCAAGAAGCAGCCTGATGCTGGATATTAAGAACTCAAGTGGAAGATATCTACCATATTTTTCGAAGTATAAGACGCACCGGAGTATAAGACGCACCAAGATTTTGAAGAGGCAAATTTTTTAAAAAGGTTTTTGCACTCTACAGACCTTCCAAAAATGGCCTGTTTTTTGTGAAAATGGGCCTGTTTTTTGTCCAAAAAAAGGGCATGCATAGCCTTTAGGAGGCTTATAGAGTGCTCCTGGGAAAGGGGTGACGAGCAAAAAACGCCCTGTTTTTTGCAAAGGCGGGGCCGTTTTTGTCAAAAAAAAAAGGGCATGCATAGCCTTTAGGAGACTTATAGAGCGCTCGGGGGGGGGGGAGAACGCCCTGTTTTTTGCAAAGACAGGCCCATTTTTGTCAAAAAAAAGGGGCATGCATAGCCTTTAGGAGGTTTCCAGAGTGCTCCCGGGGGCTGCCCCCCCCCCAAAAAAACAAGCAAAAAGTGGCCTGTTTTACGCTCATTTCTGCCCTCCTCAGCATCCAGGAGCACTCTGGAAGCCTCCTAAAGGCTATGCACGGCCATTTTGGTGAAGGGGGTGGGGTTTGGGGAGGCCAAAAATGCTGTATAAGACACACCCAGATTTTCATCCTCTTTTTTGAGGGAAAAAGGTGTGTTTTATACTTTGAAAAATACAATATCTCCATCTTTGGTTTGATGCGCGGCCCATTAAAGCACACAGCTGGCCTATGGCCCAAATGGGACCCTGGGCTGGATTTATGATCCAAAGATTAGGCAAATCCATAAGGGAATTTAGTTCCATGTATCAACAAGGCTCCAAAGGTGCTTTTTCAAGAGGCAGCAGGACGTTCTGTTTTTTCTTTGAAGACGTTTTGCTTCTCATCCAAGAAGCTTCTTCATAAGCTCATGGCACAACATAGGAGAACAAACCCACCCGGACTAGATTCATCATTTAAATCTGCGTTTAAAAAATAAAAGCCACTCTTTTGTAGAGAGCACAGTCCACATTTTGGACAGAGAAGACTGCTGGTTTGAAAGAGGGGTCAAAGAAGCCACCTGTGTCAAAATTGAACATCCCTCTCTCAACAGAGGGGGAGGGATAGGACACCATCTGCCTCCAGTTTACAACACAGTCCTTGCAGCAGCTCCAAGAAGGCTCCACACCCGTTTGCACTATTCAGGTGACCTTGACAATACTGGATAAACCTGCAGGTGGCCTTAACAGCTCTTTAAAAGGATGCAAATGACCAGCTGTCTGCAAGGAGTATAAATCCTTCCATTCCCCACCATCCAAGCTGAAGAAGCTTCTTGGATGAGGAGAGAAACTTCTTCCAAGAAAAACCAGAAAGTCCAGTTGCCTCTTGAAAAAAGCAGCTCTGGGACAACCATGAGCTGGATGACTTGAGAATCTCCATAGACCAGTAGTGGGTTCCGGATCCCGTCGCAACTGGAACGGACGTCCTCGTCAGGTACGTGAGCTGCGCAGTATGCGCACGGCACCACCCTGCGACACCCAGCTGCTCGGCGGAGGTCACGCAGGCGTCGCACGCTATGATTGTGTGCACAATTGGCCCGTTTGCATCAAAAAGGGATGCGGGCGGGCGGGCGGGTGGGCCAAACGAGCCACCGTTCTGGTAGGGTGGCTGCTGCTCCTGGCTACCACCAGCCGTACTGCCCGGAACCCACCACTGCCATAGATACTCCTACCAGTATCAACAAGTTGAGATGGCTGAGCAAAGCCTCCATATTTAGCAGCAGTCTATCTTGTAAACTAATTGTGCAGAAGAAGCAACATGAAGGGAAAAGAATAGTTTCCTAGATTTATGTGCTGCCCTATGCAGTTTCTTTACTGCCCTCGCTGCCTTCTCTTTGGAAAGAGAATGCTGAGCTAGTCACCTCAGCCTCTAGAGCTGCTAAATTTTTAAAAAATGGATTTAGATTAATATATCAGAAAGTGACATTCGGCAGCAATTAACCACAGCAGTCTTAAATGCTCGCTGTCCCGGCAACCTGGAGATATAATGTGCAACTATTTCCATTATTCCTACATTTGGAAGGCAGCAGACTTGAAAAGGCTGTCTTGGGTGACCAGGCATTAATCTTCAATTAATCAATGGAAGAATTGGTCTGCTGGCCTCACTAATTTACCGAAAAGAACATGGGGAGGGAGGAATATGCAAGCAATTCACTGTTGGAACAAAGAAGGGAAAAGTGGCTTTCTCCGAACTGAAGAGGAGCCAAGATTCTTAAAACCCAGGAAGGTTAAATTACAGAAAGTTGCCAACTCTGCTTTTCCCAGAGCAGTTAAGCTAACTGTCTTAAGGAGGCTTTCCTTCGTTCAAGAGAAACTTGGCAAAGTATTTTGGAGTGTCTTGCTTTGGGGGAGGATGCTCCATAGGAACATCTCTGATATCATTTCCAGGGATGGTAACCAGGGGTGGAATTCACTTACTGTATTTTTCGGAGTATAAGACGCACCTTCCTCCCCCCTTAAAAGTGCGTGGAAATGTTGATGCGTCGTATACACCAAATACAGCCATTTTTGGCTTCCTGAAGCCCCTCCCCCGCATCCCATTTTTGTGAAAAGGGGGTCTTTTTTGCAAAAACAGGTGTTTTTGCCTTCCCGCTGCTCCCAGAAACACTCTGCAGGCTTCAGCAGGGCTGTGGGAAGGCAAAGACGCCCCCATTTTTACGAAAAACGGCCCATTTTCCGCCTGTTTTCCCCCCCCCCCCTCTTACTTACCTCTTTGAAATCTTGGTGCGTCTTAAAAACTGGTGCGTCTTATAGTCCGAAAAATATGGTACTTCCCTATTGGTTCGTAAATGTGAGTGCACGCACCTCATCTGCACATGCGCAGTGCTCAAACATTGGATCAGGAGCCTCCCACAGTCGCTGCTACCTTTTCGCCCAAACCAGAGAGTACAGGCTGAATACCACCTCTGATGGTAACGGCCATTCTCTTAATCCTTTGCTCTGTTTTGGCAGGACCAGGTGGTGAAGGAGGACAGCGTGGAGGCAGTTGGGGAGCAGCTGAAAGTCTATCACCAACAGTACCAGGACAAGAGCCGCGAGTACGACCTCCTGTACGAGGAATACACACGCACCTCGCAGGTACTTATGGCCTGTCCAAAGCGCGGGTGCATGCGTGCCTGAACCTCCAACACAATGCACAGATGGGCTTCCGCACGCGCCCTGCTCATGCACGCATGGGTTCCGTGCATGCGCTCTGCACTTGCACGACAGAGACCCAAAGACCAGCTGACTGGTAGGAGGTGCGCATGCGCAGCACAGCTGAGCTGGAGCGACGGCTCACATGCCCTCAGAGAAGGCCATAGGTTCAAACACAATACGCAAGCGGGCCCCAGCAAGTACCCCGCTCATGCATGCACAGGCCACACACATGGGCCCCGTGCATGCGCCCCGCGGTTGCATGGCAGAGAACCAAAGACCAGCTGGCCGGGGGGAGGGACGCATGTGCAGTAGAGCTGAGCTGGAGCGACGGCTCACGGGCCCACAGAGAGTGCGCTGCGTGACACCTGGCACGCATGCCGTAGTTTCGCCATCATGGTACTACGGAGTTCTTACAACCCCAATTCACACTTACAACAGTGCCGCGCCACCACCTGCAGTCATGGTGACCAAAGTTCAGGCACTCAGCAGCCAGGCATCATTTGTGATCATCTGCAGCAACCCCCAGTCCCACGAATACGTTTTAGAACAGTTTTAACGAAAACGTGCACTTACTTCTGGTTTGGGGCAAAATTGTACCCATAGCAGCCCATGGGTTGGCTTAACAACTGCAGCATAACAATTGCCACTGCCACAGTTTTTTTGCTATGTCAATCCACTTTATTAGTTTATAATATAAAATACAAAAGCAAATAATAGGGGAAAAGGGAAGAGGAAAAAAAAGTGTAGAGAAGAAGGGGGAAAAAAAGAAAAGGCATTGATTTCTGACTCGCTTTGGTGCAGTAGAAAAAGAAGTAACATCCAACCTCAACTTGTACTTTTACATAGAAGGTGTTGTGGCCCACCAGCAGCCAGCCGAGCTGGCAGCAGATTCGGACAGTGGGGAGGTTGGGGAGGAACTTAGGCCAGTCCTGGAGTCTGAGGAAGGCTCTGATGAGGGCTCTGTGTCGGAGACAGAGAGGGGGCCAGAGCCGTATGCCAGTTATCAGCTGCCTTCAGAGTCAGACATCAGTGAGGCAGATGAACAGCTAGAGCCTGTTCATCTGGATGCGCAGATTAAGGGAACAGCTAAAGAACAGGGGTCGACTTGGGAGTAAGGCCACAGGTGGATGATGAAC